TAAAATACAGATTAATTAATAAATGATACTAAAAAGCAATAATGGTTAAATATATTCTAAAACAAGACTACCCATCATGATATAAAAAACCTTGCCGTTTTTCCCATAATAGTTAATGATAAAACTAAACTTGTCACTATCACTCAAACATTTAAACTCATAACATATTTCTTCACATTTGGCTAAAAGACTGTTTGTAACTTCAAAATAAGTGGAATAAAACATGACATTCATCCTCAACGCACTCATTGCAACTAAAACACACACGTTGGTTCAGGGGCATGTTGGTGAATCGGCCCGTCTCAACACGTAGCGGGGCGACTCCACAGCGGAACATGGCAAGTGCTCGGCGATACGACCATGGGAGGCTACTCTGTAGATACGGCTCAACTCCAATAGGACTGTTTAAAGTTACGATACAGGTTACACAACACCAAATGTTTTCCCATAGACTTCTATAGTAACCATATATTTTTTTTAATCATCCAGGCTGTCAACAGCCATTCCACATTTACACATGGGTACAGTCAGGCCTTTAAACCACAATAAAACACAATTTCTGACCAAATTGTCCGGCTCAATTTCTGAGCACAGGAAGCGGAACACATCAACCCCAGTTCCGCACCAAATGTCACCGACTAGAAAATATCTGTACACACAATAAGCATAAGTCATGGTGACAACAATGACAGCACTAAATACTTAAAATTGTGGTCAGTTTTAATTACTGGATGGATGTGCTTTTAAAAAGCATAAACATCTTACATTATCTTATCCAATCACAGTTGCACAAGTCTCTGTCTCTTCGGTTGTTTCGGTGCTCGCTCAGGGAGCATGTGATTCTGATTTCGTGTAGTGGAACCTACAGTCTCAGCTTGTTCTTCCCATCTCCCCGCTTACTATTCTCCTGATTGACTGCAAAACTCCACTCAAATAGTTTTGCATCACTTTCTGTTCAACCTCTGATATTAAAAAGCGCATGTAAAATGTTTTTCCAATAGGGATAAAATGTTCAAGATCTAAAGTTCTACATTTCCTGTGTACACGTTGATGCCAATTCCGCTTACTAGACACAGCCTTAGAATGGGTCCACTTGAACACTTTAGAAGATAATCTGTTCGGATTCTCATCGCATGATCGCTTGTAAAATCGAGCAACACTCTTCCATTGCTGGACAACCGGTGGCACCCACCCCATATCACCATATACAGCATTGTTCGGCGTAAACTTCCTCACGCCCACCAAGTACCTCATAGCTCGGTTGTGGACAGCATTTATGGGTGGGATATGATACGTACCCAATATTGCAGCACCGTAGTCGATAGTGGCCCATACCATGGAGTCGTAAAGCTTGGTAACAGTCCTGTGCTGCATGCCTCCTAGGATAATACACTTTGATATGAGGAGTCCTAGTGCCCTGCTGGCTGCACCTGCCACTGCATTTCCTATCCGGGTGTAGTTCATATGCTCTGTCAAGAGCAGGCCGAGGTAATTGTAGCTTTCTACTATCTCTAGGGTCTTGTCGCAACACTGAAATATCCGATCTGTTCTTTCTACTGCTTGGATTCTAAAATGTATGACCTTTCACTTCTCTGGGTCGACAGACATCTTGTTTACCTGGCACCACTGACTGAGTCCCTCCAGAAGTATCTTCAAGTCAGCTTCGGTCTCGGCAAGCAGAATGATATCATCGGCGTAGGCTAGGACGCTTATGCTCTTGTCATCAACTGGTATGCCGATGTCAAAGGCGTTGAGGGTTGATATCAGGTCGTTGATGTACAGGTTAAATAGTAGGGGTGAAAGCAGACATCCTTGACGTAAACCACTGCTGACCCGAAACCACAGCGTACTTGACCCGTTTATCCGCACACATGACTTTACATTATGATTGTTTGTAACAGATATATGGGAACTCGTTATTACCATAACAATACGATACATATTGTAACTTTCATTTCTACTTGTGTTAGTAGTCTGCTTGTTTAGTTTTAGAATGTATCTGTAAAACAATAATATGAGGCTTAGGTCGTAGAAATGAACCAGAAAAATACACACATCCGTTTCACATTATGATTATATAAAAAACGTAATATATTTCATTCAAGAATGTGAATCTGATGTTAATCTTATTAAATAAAAGACAGTTTGTCGAGAACCCAATGTCTTGCCTAAAACGGCAGACATATTTTGCCAACTAGCTAGCTACCAGTTATAATTATGTTTTTGAAGATTCGAGTTTCAGTCGGATGTGTTAATACATTAGTGAAACTTTGTGTGAAATTACGACAGATGGGAGGAATGTTCTTATTAGCATACAACATCACGTAACATTTGCTGGGAGTTTCATTTCATAAAATGGATAAATGGCTCGCAAGAGAGAGTAGTAGTAGTAGTAGTAGTAGTAGTAGTAGTAGTAGTAGTAGTAGTAGTAGTCATGAACAGTTACACACACCCATGTCTCAATGTGAATCGCGTTACTCACGCGTCGGTCACACTGCCATCAGTCATAAATGTCCCCATGCGCGCTTCCTCGTGTCGGTTCCGGCGCGACTGAATGAGTGACTTTTGACACATCGAGACAGTCGCATTGTTCGGGGCGATTTAATCCGTCGTTCGCCAAGAGCAATTTTGTCACACTGTTTCCTAGACAGTAGACATGGAGCATAAATACTGTCGTAAATCAAAGCAATGTTCAGTGAAGCGTTTATGAATTCCTCACAAAACTCGAATGCACGGCTGTTTTCTCTAGTATTTGTACTGAACATGATTTCACCCCGATTGCACCTCCCAAATACGATAATTTTCTATTTCTTAGCAAATAAGAAACTAGGCCAGTGCATTTTGTTAACTTTTTTCTCATTAGTCATTTCGTTGACATTCACATTGTTTGGATATGACACAATACTTCTCAATGGAAAACCAACTTTCCTAGATTGAAAACACGTAATCAAAAGTCCATTAACGAGGTCTATCGCCAGCACAATGAATACTACTTGAAAAGCACTTTTAATTATTTGTCATTAAAGTAAACAAATGCAACAATCTACATTGAATAATCATTCCGATATTTCCTGTTTCTATTCAAGTGGCGAGGTCTATATAAAAATATACAAACGTCATATTCCTCGCGCCCATCGCTGTACATATGTCACGCGAAATGACGTAAATTTCTCTCCCGGTGTAGTCTGTCTTAATAGTACTCACATTATTATCAAATATTAACAGTTAGATAGTATAAACACAATACACATACTAATCAGTGACTTCTAATCATGTCATGTTACAGTGCAAAGGTATTTGCTGTCATTGCTTGAAGAAATGTTTTAATGCATCTTTGTTACATAGATGGCAGAAACATGCAATCACAAACAAATAAACTCGTAGTTTGTGCCATATTTTTCGTCCTGCGTCACTAACATTGCGTCGACATGGTGGTGTCGGCAAAATAGCGCTGTTCGTTTAGATTTCATTCTTGATACAATCACCTTTAGTTATTTACATGTGCTGTAAATCATCCAATTTCATATACACACGTATTCAACGTAAAAGCAAATCGTAGCTGGATTTATTCTGTTCACGTTACAACTTACCTTCAGTTCAACTTATTCCTTTTGTGTCTTCTTATTTTACCAGGTCAAGACTTCGCAAACCCTAACATATGGGTAATATATATTATGTATTTAATCCATGGCTCATATTTCAAGATGTAGTTTTCAAGGATCACATTGCCCGACCACTTCTGGTTGTCCAAGACGCATCTATAAAAGATTCGTTGGTTCCCGAGCATTTCTGTTTGTGTACATTCCAGAATTAATCGTTTGGGTAGGAAATGACAATTAACGGATCCTTTCACCTTCAGCAATAGGAACTGTCCATATTTTGCACCGGTCACGGATCAGTCTCTGACTGTGATTAATTGACTAGCTTCTGTTAAATATTCTGAAAGATACTATTCTTTCCTCGTTGTTTGCGACTGAATCATTGTTTACGTGTATGTATTAAAGGAAGTGAGTGAAATATCACTCCACTCAACTTATACTGCTGACAAAGCAGCCCAGACAATAGGCGGGCGGTTTGTGTTGACTTGGTCCCTCACGCCCAGAACAGGGAAGAGACCACATTCACCTGGTTCTAATCCTTCCCTTTTCGTTTCATTTTTAAAATATCTGGGAGTATTTTTCACTCCTAAATTGATATGGACAAAAGCAACGTCAACACTGGCCCAACAAGTGGGGTTTGGGGTTTCCAATACAATGAAACAATCGAGAAGGTACATACTATATATTACTTATGTATACTATATTACCATATACTTATGTGTAATTTATATTCAGCATAAGCCATTACGGCTAAATTTTATCGATAAATATTTCTACACTAATCCATCATATGGACAATTTGTACATCTTATGTGTTCTATATGTAAATACACTGTTACACAAATATTTTCCACTCTTTTAAATAAAATCACTGAGGTAATTTCCACGTGTTATAACCTGTTGATGTATATTTGTATTGTGTATATTCTATGGGCCTGTGACCTGAAACTTGGAAATAAAATTGCTATGATGATTTGAATTGACTTATTGACCTAACATGAATAATCCCTGTTTTCTGACAAGCTATAGTTTAACTGCGTGATGTATTCATTGCCCGACATTAAAGTGCTAATCAAGTGAGCTGTATGCGTCACTCCCTAAGCGATTGACAGTCTGTAATCTAGGATTAACTCATCTCTGTGCATAGATTATAGCCTCGTTAGTCGGGGAAACAAATAAATTATTAGCTAACCATCATACTCAAAATCAAGTGGCAAAATGGCGTATGTGGGATGGATAAGTTTAAACGTCCATGACAAATGGCTGTCAATCCAGGTGCTAATTGTGACATCATCAGATGTGATTGACAGCTGTCGCAGTCACGTGACAGCAACCTGCAAATAAGGACAAAACAGGCGAGGCGGTGTTGTTGTCGTCACAATTCCTTCTCCACCTGACAAGGATAGATGTTGTGTTCGAGTACCCCAGTTCTGTTCTAATCGCTATTGTTTTTCCTGCCAATAACAAGCATGCCAAAAGGTACGTCTTTACTTTTCTTTACTGTGGTAGAAAAGTACAACTGATCTTACATTTTCGTTGTAATTCCATATTTTACCGTTGTTCAGTATCTGTAACCGCTTAATCAAATATCCCCAGATGACACATATGCGTGTCTTCCTACCGGCGAGGATGAGGGGCGAGGGGCACGGGATGAAACGGCCCCGTCACTCTTGGAACTCGCCAGAGACAACCCAGGTGCACAATGGCGAGCAAAGGCCAGGAAAAAGAAGTCAGTGGGATCTATGAGAAGAAATGGCATCTTGAAACGTTCTTTTTTAAAACTTAAGGATACCTGTTCCGTCTGCAAGTGCTCCAAGTCCTCCTGTTACAACTTTCTCCACTATATCTTCCCCTTCGTCCGACTACTGAAGGGATACAGCGGCCTGTACGACTTTCCCTGTGATATCATTGCGGGGCTTACTGTCGGGATAATGCACATTCCACAAGGTACGTCCTGTCAACAATAAGGTTCATGTACGTGCATTTGTATGTTCTACGCTTTCATGTGTCTCATTGATATCTCGAGCTCGGTTAGTCCACATGATAGGGGTTATGTAGGACATCACCAAAGAAACATTAAAACTACCCCTTCCTTTCACTGCTACAAAACAAGCGTATTTTAAAACGACTCTTTAAGCAGCAGAAACATTTGCGATAATAATTAAGAATACTCTACTGTTGTTATTTTCCACTAAAGTAGTGACTACGCTATCAAGTGCCACAGCCATCTGGTCATGACTGAGGCGTCAGGTATCAGACATTTAGTAGTTTTGTACAGACTGAGTAGTGGGTGCTACCGGTATGGTAGAACAGCATTTCCCTTTTGTCATCACTGATATTCAGACTTTTTATAATTGCTCTTCTGTGTTATACGTACAATTGAATATGTTTTAGCTACTTTCTAGCCTGGACGTTTTATAATTAGACAAGATGAACAGAGGTGATCGCATTTCGAAATCGTGTTGAAAAAGAAGCATTTATTTTATTTACTTAAACTGATCCGTTTTTCTCACTGTGTGTTAAGTCACTTTCTTTTCTGCTCTGTCGTAATATTTTTGGGAGAATGTCATACTACTCACAAAGGAATATTCCAGCCGGCAAGATGTCTGATAATCCTTCAACAAATGACGCATAGCCACAATCACGAACAATCCTGATGACGAGCGACGATGTATCGTGCAACAAACAATTTCAAGTGTCAAAATGATGTATTAGTACTATGGCTAGCGCACTCGGAAAACATGCCTCGAGGGTGTTTCACCTTCTTATGGGAGTGAGGTTAAAACACGTTGACAAATCGGTTAAAAGAAAGAGCTGTTAATAACGAACCGAAGTGGGCCATGCTCAGAAGTATGCATACGTTAAATAAGTTATACCATTCCACGTCGAAACATTAAAGCATAGTTCTTTTCATCATCGTTTCAGCTCTGAACGTAATTTGATATTTTAAATATATGCTTGTATACATGTTTAAGCTTCGCCATTTCATAATACTGTTTTGATGTAGTAAGGACCAAAGATGCTTTACGCGAAGATATTTTGGTTCTCAAATATTGTTTTGGGAGGTTTGTAATCGTCTCAGTTGACCTGCCTTGCACCTCATAACGTGTGTGTTCCAATGTGCCCTATGACGTGTCTGTTATATCTCCAACCAGGTATGGCGTATGCCCTGCTGACGCAGCTACCCCCGGTGTACGGTCTCTACACCTCCTTCTACCCGGTCATCATCTACTTCTTGTTTGGTTCTTCCAAACACATATCTGTTGGTGAGTAAACCAAATACCCTGCACTCAACGACAGCCACGGTCGGGAAGGTACAGGAGGCCAATATGGCCACATGGTTTGGGACGGGGAGGGGAGGGTATCGAGTGAGAGATTCTCAAATCGTATCAAAGGTTATCAATAATTCACTCACTGGATACCAGACAATGTCGAAAATATATCAGACCTATTTCTTACAGAGTCTTCTGTGTTAACTGATATGTCTATGTGATGGGGGTTTATAAATAATTCAGGAATCCTGGTGGCAAAACAAGACTGGAGCTGTTCATATTCCAGCTTTTCCAAATGTTAAATGTAGCTTCAATAGCTACCCACTAATACAAGTTATTTTGCCTCTAAAATGTACCCTGAATGATTTGGTGTTCGCTAACATAAGGAGGTGGGTATAACAAGATCGAAACACCTGATGGCCGACCCCCAAGTAATGCAGTTGAATTGCATTGCCATGCAATTAATACCTCATAATAATTCTATTGATAAGTGATTACAGGTCAACCATATCAATTTGTTTTAGAAAGATTGATGCTCCATGTATTTTGATGTTAAGATATACAGTGAAAGCACGATAAGTAAATCATGTGGGGACTTGAAAAACATCACTACATCAATGGCTTTCCAGATGATTCATAATTGACTCGAACGTCAAACCTACTCATCTACCTCAAGTTCTGTGTGTGGCATTGTGTATTTCAAAGTTCTCTGTTGTTTCACAAATGTGCATTTATACGAGACAAAGGAACTAGTAAAATACTAGTCACTGGGCTTTATCTCATGCCTGAAATTACTTGTTCTACTGAGGACATGCCTATATTTTCTGTTTATGCGCGACATTCTGTGGCCTAAAACACTTGGACCCATCTCTGGATTGCTCAGTCACGTTTCCCGATTGATTGAGGATCAACATTATCCACACGGTTTATAGCTAATCCTAAAGCATTGCCGAAGTTTAATCATCTCTTCTCCAGAGCACTCCTTTGATGTTTATTTACCCTTTACAAAAATCTCATTAGAAAGATGAACAAAGTGCCAGGTGATCGTGTATGAGGGATTAACCGTGCTATTGTCTGGTTGTTATTGATTTGTTGTGATGGCTTTGTCATTAATGCGTTTACAACAGCACTGACACCTACTCTACTTATCAAGCTGACTTATTGTCTTCTTAAAGGGGTCGATATTAGAAATACAAAAAAATAAATATGGAAATAAGGAAAGTAGTAGAAATCTTTTTCCACTTATGTTTCAACAACAACTAACTACTTCCAACAGGGACATTTGCCGTGGTCAGTCTGATGGTTGGAGCCGTGGTGGACCGGGGTTACGTCAGGTTTCGTCGAGATGAACTGCTGCATCCCAACAACAACATGTCGCTCATCCTCATGGAAGCCAATGTGACGTCACCGGTATACCAAAAGCACATGGAGGACCTGGAGGAGATCAAAGTGGCGTACGCCATGTCCGTCACATTTGCTGTGGGAATAATGCAGGTACACTGTCATATTTGATCTGTATATGAGTGACAGTTAACGATTGTGTTTCTGTCTGACATTGAATGTTGCTAGGGAACAGAAGTCCACGTGACACCTAACCAACATCACTATCACAGGCTACTGTAATCACTGCACGGCATTAGGCGGGTTGGGAGCAGGCCGGTACTGGATCGGTTTTGAGCCAGGTTATCAATCATTAATTCAAATACCATTATCCTCTTGTTGATACGTAATTCTCCTTCCCAGGTCCTTCTCGGCGTGCTCCGGCTTGGCTTCTTAACGACGTTTTTGTCTGACCCCCTCATCAGCGGCTTCACCACAGGCACTGCCATCCACGTGTTCTCCAGCCAGATTCAGTCTGCATTCGGCGTCACCATTGGCCGATACAACGGACCATTTAAGCTCATTTACGTTAGTGAACCACTTATAACACAAGACGTAATTTAACTGCTACCACGAATCCATTTGTCACCCTTCCACCGAGTTAGTTAGTATTATTACTTTAAGCAACACATATGATATGTTCTCAGATATGTGTTTGTTATATTAATTGATACCCTGATCTAGTTGTCAAAACGTTCGTTTCTGTGAGAAGGTCATTTCTGTGATAGGGCGGGATATTGCTGACATATTGCTCACAGAGATGCAAAACTATTCCCTCACTCTTTGGGAAAAAAATCAGGGCTGTGAGTCTAAAAAAAGGTTATTTGTGGACCAACCAACTCTGTATCATTCACCTTACTCATTAAATGTTGTTTTCTTTGTCACCAGGCATACCGCGATTTCTTTGCCAACATCGATCAAATTAACTTTGAGACGATGACAGCTACTATCGTAGCTGTCTTAGCTATTATCTTCATCAAGGAGGGCATCAATAACAACAAGTCATGTCGGCCGAGGATGAAGGTTCCAATACCCATCGAGTTATTGGTGGTGAGCAGGCTTTCCGAAATTTGAGTCCGTGAATGTCGTGAGACGGCATCTGAATACGTTTCAACTCTTCCACTCTGAAACCAGCGTTTCGAATGTCGTAAAATGGCATAAATCACGGATTGTTTTAACTCTCTTTTACGCCTATTTAAAACCAGCGTCCCGTTAAGGTATAAGACAGCCTTATGACCGATTTAGACAGTGACACTGGTCACTTTCTGAACGAGCAGTTCGATTGTCGTAAAACAAAATCTCCACGTTTTTCTACTCCTTTACTGACCTACATCAATGTATGTTGTTTGACAAACTTACAATCCATAGTTTTGCCATCTATCCGTTTGTAACCAGCGTAAATGAATGTCGTAATACAACCAGTACCACGAATATTTTTACGCATCTCCCCTTTTGTAACCAACATCCCCGGATAGAACTACATTAAACTAGATCTAGACCGCAAAGAGCATACCCACTATCCTCTTTTTCATTTGAGCTGTTATTGAACTGAAAGATATGTTAGCAATATAATGTATTTAATGTGTTCGTTTATCTTTGCAGATCATAGGCGGTACGCTATTATCCTACTATCTCAATCTCAATTCGGAGTTTAACGTGGAGGTGGTCGGCGAACTTCCACGAGGGTAGGCTGCATTTATCTGTACAATGTTTTTAAAACACTATAACATCCATTTTAATGTGCAATTCTGCAAGGAATGTGTAAACGCTTAGCCAACCGTGACACTTCACTCGAATGGTCCTTTGTCAGTGCCACTTGGCTTCCTATCAAACATTGAACATGTGTCAGTGCCACTTGACTTCCTATCAAACATTGCCCTTTTTTCAGTACCATTTGGCCTTCTATCAAACAGTGTCCTTTTTGGTACCATTTGGTGTCCTATCAAACGTTGCCCATTTGTCAATGCCACTTGACTTTCTATCAAACTTTGCCCATTTGTCAGTACCATTTGGCGTCTTATCAATTATTGCCCATTTGTCAGTACCATTGGGTGTCCTATCAAATGTTGCCCATTTGTCAATGCCACTTGGCTTTCTATCAAACTTTGCCCATTTGTCAGTACCATTTGGCGTCCTATCAAACATTGCCCATTTGTCAGTACCATTGGGTGTCCTATCAAACGTTGCCCATTTGTCAGTACCATTTGGCGTCCTATCAAACATTGCCCTTTTGTCTACCACTTGGTTCCTTATAAAACATTCCACTTTTGTCAGTTCCACTTGGCACCCAATCATGCATCGCCCTGGTGTTAGTGCCACTTGGCTTCCTAAAGTACACCGTTCAGATGCTATTAACTCTTGGTTACCCGTCATATATCGTGCTTGTATCTCGTCATGCATCCTCCTTGTGTTAATATCACCTTGGTTACTTTGTCCTTGTATATGTAACACTTGGATTCCTATCTGACGGTTGTTATTTTCTCATCCCAGGTTGCCCAAACCAGACGTAACCAAACTGAGGTTTTTCCCGGAGCTAATCGGCGAGGCTTTTGCAATCTGTTTCACAGCTTTTGCAATTTCTTTTTCAATGGCTAAAATATTGGCTGATAAACATTTCTACGAAATAAACCCAAACCAGGTTTGTAATTGCAAATATGAACCCTTGTGCAATGTTTCTTCAGTCATTATGCATGTGTTGTAGGAAAGTCCTTTTCCGTTTCGGCAGTAATTCCCAGGTCAACTCCCCGACAGAATATCTTCTTCACAACATTGTGTACCGAAAATTATATTCCTGACGACCATACCCAGTTGGTTACAAATATTTTTGACGACACATGCACCATACTCAGTTGATTACAAAAATTCGTGACGACACATACACCATACCCAGTTGGTTACAAATATTCTTGACGACACGTGCACCATACTCAGTTGGTTACAAATATTCTTGACGACACTTGCACTATACTCAGTTGGTTACAAATATTCTTGACGACATATGCACCATACCCAGTTGGTTACAGATATTCTTGACGACACATGCACCATACTCAGTTGGTTACAAAATTCTTGACGACACATGCACCATACCCAGTTGGTTACAAATATGCTTGACGACATATGCATCTGACCCAAACTAATATACCGTGACTGGTTGGCTTGATATATTCTTACTAACTGTTTCTACCTGTTTCAGGAACTGGTGGCACATGGAATGTGTAACATACTTGGGCCTATCTGCTCCGCATTCTGCAGCTCTGCTTCATTGTCCCGGAGTATGGTGCAGGAGAACGTGGGTGGGAAGACACAGGTAGAACAAAACACTTGTCCATCACAAAAAGGACGGATTACGAAAGCTACGTTGTCTCACGTGACATGCTTGTTGGCCGCCGTCATGAACAAGTTTAAATATTGATTGCCACTGCTTCTTATCTACTTCTCTCTCTCATTTTGTTACTTGATGGTCAATGCTATGTCTTTCGGATTGCTAGAATACATGTACGTTCATTCCATCCTTCAATATATCTTTCAATTTGCAACATTGTGTAGCCACTGGAGAATTTAACATATACTTAACATGACATTACTCATGAACTGGATATTTGTCTCACGTTTATGCTGTCATTTTGATATTTGTCTCATGTTTGTTTTTGCTGTCATTTCGATCTTTGGTCTCTGTTTTCAGATTTCAAGCTTAATATCCGGCGGCCTCGTCATCATAGTTCTTCTTTCTATGGGGCCTCTCTTTAAGGCATTGCCTAACGTAAGTAGACTGTTCTTGCATGTATTGTCGAGTTGATTACGCGCAAGGTCTTCAGAATAATCTGCTTCACCTACCCCCATATTTTCTCATTTCAGTGTATTTTGGCAGCCATAATTCTGGTGTCCCTGAAAGGATTGTTCACACAGATCATTGAGGCCAGAAGACTTTGGAAAGTGTCCAAAATAGATTTCGTACGTACAGAACATATGCCTCCGAAAACAATAAGGGATCTAAATTAGATTGTAATTATCTTTGAGGTGTACATGTAAAATGCAGTGGCATTGCACCAGAACACAACATCTAATCATTATGAAACATCACATCAGCTTCCGTCTTCAGGGGATATGACACATACTAAAGCACCTGAGCTGAGCACTCATTTAAAATGCACCAAGTATAGAAAGGGCGACGTCGATAGCCAAAGGTATCGGAATGTTTTGCAAAGTCAAAAAGTGTCATTTTCTTAATATCGGACATGTACTGTCAAACAGGTGGGTTTCCAATGGCACCTGGGCGTGTGAGAATTGAAAACGACACTTATACCATATTCTGTCATTACATTAATTGCACTTTGCAAAAATTCGAAACTGCTCCTTTCATCAATATAGAAAGGCGATTTTCAAACGTCTACTGTTAAAAAGCGACTATGCGACCGCCTGAACGCACGGCACGTTAAGGGCAATGGCGCTACAGTTGAATCAAGGTTTCAATCAATGCCACAAAACGGTGTGATCTGACTTAAGGAGCGGTATGCCAAGGCCCTAAGTTTAGACTATGGTCTGTATGTGGGCGGTAATGTCGTGGTATAGGTCGGAATCACGCATGACAGAGTAACTTTTGTAGTTATTGTGAATGAACATTGACTAGCCACGAAATGTCGATTTCCAACCGGACACACTCAGTCCCTGAGCATCTTCACAATAGGTCATCTGATGGATGTTCTCGGATGTGTTCACCACAGAGGCAACAATCGGCCACATGACGCGGCTAAGGGAAGCGGGCAATATCAGGGGCAATATCAGGGGCAATACACACGTTACTCACCAGTATCAAGGTTTCGTGAATACATCGCCCAATATGGGAGACAAACCAGTTATTGTTTTGCACACCCGAAATTAATTTTACATAAATGTTTGTCACTATGCCCGTCATTTTGTCTGTCCCTTATATTTTTGTCGGTATTATATTTTGACAAAGTCAGATTTGCGAGTGGAAAACATTGTAGACTTTACCGTGCTGCAGTGACACATTAACATGAAAGACATCCGACAAACATTTCTTTGTTTGGTGATTGTAGACGGTGTGGCTAGTTGTGTTTGTCGCCACGGTGTTGTTGGACGTTGACCTTGGACTGCTTGTTGGGCTAGTTTACAACCTCGTCCCTGTGCTGCTTAGAACACAAAGGTAAGTGCACAATTTCCTACGAAACATAACGTGAATGAAAAATAATAAATATTGAAAACTGATGTGAAAAAATCATGTGAAATTTCTTCCGAAATTAGTTGTGTACAATGTACAGGGTTAGTTGAGCATGAATCTGATTCTGGTGCTGCAGGGCCTATTCCTGTCTCCTGGGAAACCTGGCTGGAACCGAGGCCTACATGGACAAGAAGGTCTACCCAGGTGTAAGTATATGTACAATAAACGTGATGATCTTGACAACTGCTGCTGGTTGTTTTAGGTGTAAAGTCTTTGACCTTGCATTACCAAATGAATGAATTAATTATTTTAACAGTACTTAACAGTGACGGAACTCATAATTTTCCTTGTCAATAGAACAATTTTATAAAACCATGTGTCGACAGCGGGATTCGAACCCTGCGAAGCCCGCACCGATGACAAACATATACTCCAGACAAAAAGAAACGCAAATCAAGATGTTGGTTGCAGTATTTAGAGACATTTATTTTGAAAAAGAAAAATGCGACAAGGAACAAATTTTACAAGAAGGATCATACAGTGGTCAAGATCGATGGATGCCGTAGAGGATGCAGTTGTGGTTCGTAGGTGACGTAACCTGATGTTCGGGTCCAGCCCCCTGGTCACTCGTGGTCTCCCTGATCTGGGAAGGTCACGTGTTGGTCCTTGATTTTGATACGGGTTCCACGGTCTCGTTATGGTGCTGGGCGACACATTCAACACTCTGACTACTGCAGAACGTGATTCACCAGCTTCCAATCTACCGATAGCGTTGTTCCTCTCTGTTGTGGTTTGCTTCAGCAACAGTTGCCAGTCAGTTGATAACCTCGCGCTTTTATTGCTAATGCAATGATGTTTCACGTGCAGTTCATGGATGTGTTTGGGTGATTTTGCATGTTCTTGTCTCTGAACAATTCTGAAGGAAATTTCCTTCTCATCGGAAATGGCATTTTATACCTGTAACACCACGTCTCCAAAAACTAAACAAAAATATCGAATATCATGTAGAATTCTATTTTAGTATACGTTTTTATCCGTTTTGCGTTTCTAGTTTTGGGTAGTATATTTCACGTGCATAAATAACACTGGCGACTGACACAGTGGTCTCACAGTTCAGCACTGATTTCAGGCAATCTTCTTAAATACAATGTTGTTCAAACATTTTAGGTGCTAAGGATCTTTCAATGTTGGCGATGGTTTCAACAGGTTAGAGCACCCGGGGCGTATGCGTCTTATCTTTTACAGTAGTTCGAGTTCTCGGCGCTCCGCGATCAAATAACTCGACCGTGTGCTCTAATGGATACACAAGTAAAGTGCAATGGATGTATCTATGGTGCAATTCATTTAGATATACGTATTATATGACTAGGTGCAACATGTAAAAACATGATACAGATTAGGGATAAATGATGAATCTATTATCAGGCTAAAGAAATACCAGGTATAAAGATCTTCCGATTCGAAGCACCACTGTATTTCGCCAACATGGAACACTTCCGCCGCCAACTGATCAAGGAAACCGGTCTGGACCCTCAAGAGTTGAAGAGGAAGAAGGACAGGTTGAAAGAGGCCGATGTCATTCTCCGACACCACCAGGTACACTCACGTCTCTGTACCACTGAAACCACACGCTACACTCTTTACATTAACAGTGAAATCATCAGGTACACAACAAGTTACACCATCAGGTACACACTGTACACTACAAGTTACAACATCGGGTACACACTATACACTACACGTTACAGCATCAGGTACACACTGTACACTACAAGTGACAGCATCAGGTACACGGTATACACTACAAGTGACAGCATCAGGTACACGGTATACACTACAAGTGACAGCATCAGGTACACACTGTACACTACAAGTGACACCATCAGGTACACACTACACTACAAGTGACAGCATCAGGTATACACTGTACACTACAAGTGACAGCATCAGGTACACACTGTACACTACAAGTTACACCATCAGGTACACACTATACACTACAAGTGACACCATCAGGTACACACTGTACACTACAAGTGACACCATCAGGTACACACTACACTACAAGTGACACCATCAGGTACACACTGTACACTACAAGTGACACCATCAGGTACACACTGTACACTACAAGTGACACCATCAGGTACACACTACACTACAAGTGACACCATCAGGTACACACTGTACACTACAAGTGACACCATCAGGTACACACTACACTACAAGTGACAGCATCAGGTATACACTGTACACTACAAGTGACACCATCAGGTACACACTGTACACTACAAGTTACACCATCAGGTACACACTATACACTACAAGTGACACCATCAGGTACACACTGTACACTACAAGTGACACCATCAGGTACACACTACACTACAAGTGACACCATCAGGTATACACTGTACACTACAAGTTACACCATCAGGTACACACTGTACACTACAAGTTACAACGTCGGGTACACACTATACACTACAAGTGACACCATCAGGTACACACTGTACACTACAAGTGACACCATCAGGTACACACTGTACACTACAAGTGACACCATCAGGTACACACTATACACTACAAGTGACACCATCAGGTACACACTGTACACTACAAGTGACAGCATCAGGTACACACTGTACACTACAAGTGACACCATCAGGTACACACTATACTCTACAAGTGACACCATCAGGTACACACTATACACTACAAGTGACACCATCGGGTACACACTATACACCTTGCTGTCAGGTCAATGGACTATGAAAAGTTTTGTCATGACATCAGTTGTCATGTTACACATGCATTTTTCACTCCATATCTGAGATTACTTGATTTTCGAATAATTTCCGATATCTTCGCCGTAATAATCTTAAAGACCTCCAATTCATTATATTACAGGTATGTTTGGACGCTCAAAAGAGTTGGCCGGATGTACCATGTACAGGGTTGGGTCACGAGCAGACTACATCTTACATGGCCAAAGAAGAACTGAAAGAGGAGATTCACGCCATCATCATTGACGGCTCCACCATACAGTACATCGACTCCGTCACTGTGAAGGTTTTGTTTGAGGTAATCCGTGAAACCATGTCCAATACATATCTATACATACATTCCATAATTTCGAAACACTTGATATAATATTTCATTTTCAATTAAGAGATAATGTACAGTGTTTTGAAACAGTCCATCGGCAAAGTGTTGATGATAATCAAAATATCTGAAATATTTTCGAAGTTGAATATTTTCATTGATAGTATTGAGTCGTATTTCTTCTGTGACACCTGCTCCGAACAGTATGCATGTAAACATATGTAGTAAAATTAGATGTTTTCATTGGCTATCCGTTATCGATACGCATTCACCATGCATCGGCCTATAAGTGCTCACAATATGACCCTTTGAAGACGAAAAATCAACACATTCGGTTGTGATGACATGCCATCATCATCATATATACCAGTTTATAATGACTGATTTCAGATTGTCCAGTCCTACAAAGACGTAGACATAGACATCTATCTCGGAGAATGTAAAGGTACGTCCCTGAAAACATGATACCTGAACAACAGAGAGACTTGCCATTTATTGTTTGCAAATACTGTAGTTTTATCAATGATACGAATATGCTAACATGAATGTTCACTTCTTTGAGTGGCATTTTAGAAGTTAGGAAGTACAATATTGACAAACATTATGGCTAATAACATGTACAATGTTTCTAAATCCAGATACTGTTCGGTCGATGTTGGAGATGTCCGGTTTCTACACGAACATCCACCGCCGCCATGTTTGTGCAACAATACATCACGCCGTCATGTGTGCCCAGAAGTCAAAATCAGTTTCAGTGGATGTGAGTATACTCTCCAACTGACCCTTCCGGTCAGTGCATGACATATACAGTTTACTGGAGGACGTCGCTGCGATTGGAAAACACACGCACGCCAATTTAAGTGACGCCGTGTGTGTATGTTTCAGACCCTGGGTAGCTACGGCAGTGACTACATGCTAGCAGAGGGCGACTTCGTCCAGGTAGACCTCCCTGATGACGATGTGGCCAGTCATGATATTACTGTAAGTAGAGGAGATTGTAACAGAGCGCACATCAACTTCGTTAATTCATAACACTGACTGAAATGACAGAGACACTGATGGTTACTCTTTCCTCTTTCAGCTATGATGACTCGCGTGTTCCAGGAGCTGGCCAGTGAGGAAGTGCTATACTTATTACAACCTATCTGGTTTCTGTATATACTGTAATCTGAATAAACCAATTTTTTTATCCAAGTAGTTTTTATGTCTTGTTTTAAACCGGACATGTTTAAAGCATCCCAGAGGTTGAAAATGGAGCGTCAGGCAGAATGTTGTATCATCTAATTTGGTTCAGTGTCATATGTTACTGGTGACGTTTTATTAACGTGAATTATTTGTTTTACGTAATGGTGGTTTGTTACAAAAATTCAAATTTAAAAAATGTGTCTTGGTCTTCTTGGTCAACGGTATTTACAGAATTCAACATGCTCTCGTCATGGGTTCATACCGAGGGAGAGTGACGGAAGTGCGATAGCTGTAGGGGCGTCAAAATTGATAGCATTCCGAGAAAGATCTTCGGACAACTGTGTGACGGCAATAACTCCTGTATACTCAGAACACCTATGTCTGATAATTGATAATTGGGATGTACGTGTATCAATATCTGTGATCAATACCATCTTGGGTGTAACAACCTTTTCCATGCTTGATTGCATACAATATCTCCAGACAGCTGAAGTGCTTTTGTGTTCAACCTTTGGACTGTGAGCTCATCCATAATGCTCGGCCGAACGTTCGCCTGACGCGCCTATGTACAGGTGATGATGTGGTGTGGGGTATATAAGGGCGTGTGTAGCGACCAAAACTGGGACACGACTAGGACTCGGATAACTACCATGGATAATTATACGTGTTGCTTTGAACTATGTGTTTAATCGACAGCTGAACGATACAACTAATTTACAGTAAAAAAACATGTATTAATGCAGCAAATTGGGTCACAAACATCTTAATACGGAAAATTGTTTACAGTTACAAAGCTAATTACAACGCCAAGAATCAGAATTATTTGAGAAACACAAAAGCTGAGTGTTTTAACTTTTACATTAATGTGAAAGATTCTATGATATTATTAAGTGATGTAGAAACAGATTTCATTTTAGATTGTCCGTTTCAAAAAGCATTGGATTACATAATGTTTGCATTTAAGAATAACACAGTTAATGAAAACAACACATCGTACACCATAAAATGTTTGCTTGACTGGGAATTGCCGCACGATATAAACAAGTAAATAATTGACCACTACACAAATAATTACGAAAACACGAACTAAATCATATTTCGCACATCGATCGCTTGAGTGTAAGCGTTAACCGGGAGCAGTACCGCAGTAAGGGACCGTGATGATTTTTATAGAGAAGCATGTACAATGTGAATGGGGAAAAAACAACCCCACCCCCCGCCCCCAAACAAAAAAAATAAAAAAATAATGTATAAAGTTAGTGAGACACACACACACACCCTGCTTGTCATATTAAACATTATGGGGAGAGGGGGGTCAATGATTTTGTATATGTACAAAATTGATGAGCCCCTACCTCACCAGAAGAAAATGAGTAACCATAGAAATTGTTTTCATGGCACCAATCAACCATTTTGCAAATCATTGAAGGAGTCATTGACAAGTACACAACACAAAACGAAATGACAAACTGAAACCTAGGATCCATGCTTACAATAAGCTTAGATATTTAAACCAAATTTGATCCCACATCATAGTTTTCTGTTGATCCATGAATTGATCCTCAGCAAAGTGTGAATAGTATATATATGCACAGTGCACATAAATACTTTTTTCCTGGTGTGACATTTAACGCTTATTTTGTGTATTTGCTGATTTAAAATTTCATCATATTTGTCAGATAATTCATTTTCGTATATTTGTATATATGCAATATTGTGCATGCATATTATGTTACATCCAATATTAGTAAAATTAAAACTGTCACCATATTTTCAAATGACTCATATTCGTATATTTGCGGGTGCTATATGCAATTAACAAAATGTGATAAACTTTACTGTTTACCAGCAAGTGCTGGCATACTTACATTTCTACTATAGACTATAGCTTGAATCCCCATTGTTGCAAGGATTAGTACGGTCCAGTAATTTTAATCCCTAAACAATACGTGCAGGCAAAAGGAGAACACCCCCATTAATGAGTATCTTGGGCAAAGTATTTACTTACAATAGACTATCAAACTGGGCAGATATGCGTGATAAGATTCCTGAATCCCAGGCAGGATTTAGAAGGGATATTCTACCACGGATCATATATTTACTCTGTATGCACTAGTCCAAAAATCACTATCAAAAAGAAAACATAAGTTGTACATAGCATTTGTAGATTTTAAAAAAACATTCGATTCGGTCCGTCGTTTTAAATTATGGCAGTGTTTACGCAAGGCAGGTTGGGAACTAGTCAAATGGGCCGAAGTACAAAAGGGCCGATGGAAAAAGTCAAAAGGGCCGAGGTGAAAGTCAAATGGGCCGTGACAATAAGTCGAAAGGGCCTTATTCCTAGTCATATGGGCCGAACAGAAAAAAAGATTAGAAAGGTCTAACATTATTTATTGACACATATAGCATTGAAACATAATATCATCATAACATTAATAAAATGGTAATGGCATGATAATAGCCAAGTATGTAGCCAAGTTTTCATGTAATGGCAATACATATAGTTCATAATTTACTGAATTAACACAACTTCACATAATTAACAAAAATTATATAATGGTAATGTACACAAGTTCATTCGTTCATAATTTACACAAGTTCATTCTTTGGCCTGATATCCGGCAATGGATGCAGTAAAGACGAGCTTTACATTTATCAAATGTATGTTTATTTCTGCCGCATTTAGTGCAATGTTGCTTTTCTGTACAAGTTTTTTTGAGTATGGTCATATTGGAGACACTTCGCAAATGGTATATTTGTTGGCAGAAATAATTTTAGTTTGTGTTTTGTTGTTATTAGCTGTTTGGACGAGGGAATCAAGTTGTTGTTGTGTTATTGTATGGTCTAGTTGTATAACCCCTTTTATTTGTTGAGTCCAGTTAGGTGTTACAACTTTAACTGGAATATTGATTTTGTTTATTGCTTTGTAGTTTGGTTCATAAGCTTTTTGTGTGAACTGGATGAGATGTCCATGTCAATTGAACTGAGTTCATTAGTTTAGACACTGAGTCGAGATACTTTACAATAAAAACGTTAAAGGTCACATGCAACCAAAAAATCAAACATAATTAAAACACAATTATCACTTATTCATGACATATAATATACATTGCTGGTTATGAAAAAACATATGCGTACAATCGCAAATCAAAAGTGCAATATTGTGTACTTGGGTACAATGCATTTTGTTTATGGTGTATAGCCTGATTGGTGTTAAGTTCAAATTGCATGTGGTCAGTGATAGCAGCTGTGTATTGAATATTGTCATTAGCAGACAGGCAGGCAGACACACAGGTGTCAATAAAACAAGACATTGAGCATTGTCTGTGACAACGACATATCTATATCACAGTTAGAAATTCTGTCAACGCTAAATAATGACATTGCTTTTAAGTATCGAACTGAGAAAGTGACTCGGTAAGAAGAACGTGTGGTGAAATAGACAAATGCAATTATATAAACAGTTAATTTACTGTCATAACATATAAAAAGCTCGCGCCTGTGAGATATCAACAAAACATTAGAAAAATAGCTCACACCAAAGCATTCACCGAGTATTCACTGGAAAACCCGCTACCAAGCTGCTCGAACCTATTTCACTGCGCACGTGCTATGAGCGCAGCCCAGCTGTTGAAACCAGTTTTCTCCCGAAAAGTCGGGGGGAAAATTAGTGAGTGAGTGAGTGAGTGAGTGTGTTTAGTTTTACGCCGCTTTTAGCAATATTCCAGCAATATCACGGCGGGGGACACACAGAAATGGGCTCCACACATTGTGCCCATGTGGGGAATCGAACCCGGGTCTTCGGCGTGGCGAGCGAACGCTTTAACCACCGGGCTACCCCACCGCCCCGGAAAATTAGTGAATTGTTTGAACTCCGATTTCGCGCGGTTTTTTTCATCGCGTTATTTTTCAACTTTATAAGTTGAATTTGCATTTTTGACGATTTGTTTCGGTAAGTCCATACCGAAAGGTATCAGAATCTGCAAAGTTGTGTTTTACGTTGCACGTGACCTTTAAGACTCCCATGTTTTAATTAGATTTGGATTAAAAACTTACAACAACAAAAACATTTGAGTCTTATGTTCAAATTCCATTTAAAATAACAATAACAACAACTAAACACTATTTTACTATGTAATTTATTACATTTTTATTTTTCGGCCCTTGTTTCGTCCTTTTTGACTTTTCATTTCGGCCCATTTGACTTTTAGCCTCGGCCCTTTTGACTTTTTTTCGGACCTTTTGTCCTTCGGCCCTTTTGACTACAACCCGGCAGGTTTACAAGGGAAGATGGTTAGCATTCTGAAATCAATGTATTCTAACGTTCGATCGTGTGTGCGTTGCAAAGACGGGGTTACAGATCTTTTCGATTGCCCACTTGGTTTAAGACAAGGTTGCTGCTTAAGTCCACTCTTATTTTCCTTCTTCATTAGTGAATTATATCACGATATCAACTCAGGTGGAAAACATGGAATCCTAATGTACCCAGAACTTGTAGAAGTCCTAATGCTCCTTTTAGCTGACGACGTTATTTTAGTTTCGGATACTGTGGTCGGTTTACAAAATCAATTAAATATCTTAGAAAGCTATACTAAAGAATGGAAGCTAGCGGTTAATTTAAGCAAAGCAGACATTGTGATATTTAGGAGGGGCGGTCCTGTGGCCACAAACGAACGCTGATTTTATGATGGTCAGTTGATTAATGTATCCGATCAGTATTCGTACTTAGGGTTTTTGTTTTCAAACAGAATGAATTCGAATAAATGTTCACAGAACTTAGCTTTACGTGGAAAAAAGGCTTTAATACAAGTTTTATCGGTTTTATACAAAGTTGGAACTATGTCACCCACTGTGTTTAAGATATTTAATATTCAGATTCAACCCATTTTATTATATGGATCTGAAATATGGGGAATTCAGCGCTTCGACTGTATTGAGAGAGTACATCTTTTAGCCTGTAAAAAGTACCTCAACGTAGGCTCAAAGACACCTAACTGCATGGTATATGG